TTTTTTTTTAAACATTCACCATATTTTTTATCATGTCATATTATTAAGAATTTGGGAATGGCAGTTTCATTTCAGTCTGTACTTGAGGTACAAGTTATTTTCCCCACCGCAAAGAGTGTCTTTTAAGAAAATATATATATCTTGGAAAGAAAAAACAAAACTATATCTCTAAGCCAAGAATCAATGTGAGCATAAATGGATAGTCAAATGCTAAGTCAGGTTTTATTCATTTGTTTGAAAATTGCTTCATGAAATAGTATATAGTCTGTGTAAGATTCTGTTTATCCTAAGAGTTTCCATTCTAGTGATAAAATGTCACAAATGAATCTTACAGTGCCAAATGGGGGAGGGCAGAATGGTTGGAGAAAGCTTAAAGCAGAAAAAGGATTTCCGTGGAAGGGAACGCATGGGGGAGATGTTTAGAAGGTAGCACTGCAAAGTAGCTGAACTCTGTATAGTCCTGCATTTCTCCCTGCCTGATAAATCTTCCTACCTGGATGCCTTGGGTACCTCACACTCCCAAATTTGCATCTCCTCATCCATCTCCTTCTATATTCCCCATGTCCTACCAGTCAACCCACACACACACAACACTTTATTATGAATTTTTTTTCCTTAATTTTTTTAAAGATTTTATTGGGGAATTGGGGAAGGGAAACAGCCAAGTTGTTGCCCTTCAATCTTAGTTGTGGAGGGCGCAGCTAGCTCAGCTCCAAGTCCAGTCGTGCTACTCAGCTCAAGGTGCTGTGTTCAATTAGTTGTGGGTGGGCGTAGCCACCATCCCATGCAGGAGTCAAACCAGCAGCCTAGTTGTTAAGAGTGCGTGTTCTATCCCCTGAGCCACCCGGGTGGCAGCTCACCTCAAGGTGCCAAGTTCAGTCTTAGTTGCGGTGGGCATAGCCCACCATCCCATGTGGGAGCCAAACAGGCAACCTTGTTGCTAGGAGCACGTGCTCTCACCACCTGTTGGCAGCTCAGCGGCAGCTCAGCTCAGGCACAGCTCATTGGCCCAAGA